AGCCTTTATACATACGACTGCGATTAAGGGGCGATATATCTTGTGAAATAATTACGAGGAAGTTAAGAAAATCACTTCAAAGAACTTTTAATGCTGGCAAACTACACGACTGATGGTGATTCCTCAATTGAAAGATGGAGTACCTAATCTAGCCACTTTTAATTGTATCTACCAATTCAACTTCGCTTGTGCAGCGAGTTATTTTGGCCAAGTTGTTCAAGGGACTTGATTTTTCGTGCTCTCTCGGGAACATCTACCAGTGTGTTTAAATAAACGTGTAGTGAGAAGCATCAATAGCGCGATATTAGACCATTGATATAAGAATAAAACTTGTGCAATGTGGTAGAGTGTAATTCCATTATGGGTAAATTTTGTTAAAGTCTCACAGTGTTATACAGTAATGTTTACTGATGACGTTTCAAGCACAATTCACTGCTCATAATCATAACAAGGACTGTGAGGTCAACTACATAGGTCAAACTAGTAGGTCAGGGGTAGTCAGATTGTCAGAACATAAGAATTTAGCTAAGGTAAGAATGAAGAAAATAAAAGACAGATTCAGCGAAGAAAATTTTCTTTATCGACGAAATCATCTTCAGAGGCTGTACAATCGTATTTATACTTACAAAAATATATAGTGGTCTATTATTGAGTAATAGGGGGTGACATAATTGATATAATTACTCAGAAGTGGTTTTAGAAGTGAAAATTAAAAGTTGTAAATTACGTGGTACTCAACGGCACAAAGATAGAAATTTGATAAGGTTAAAATTGCTATTGAGTGAGAATGAAGGTATTTGAGTGTCAATTTTAACAAGTGAGAAGAGGGTGTGAAAATGTACAAAAGGAGCATATGAGAGTGATAATAGTGAACTAATTATTAAAGCAAAAGCTAACTAAAAGTGAAATTAGAATGAAAAGAAAAATCAAAATATATTTTATTTACAAGGAACGATTAGTGAAGAGGTTAAGACCAAGGTAGAATAAGAGACTGGACAAACTTTTTCTGTATACAGAGTTCAGGGTTGTATTGATGAATTGCCAGCGCCTCCGCCATACACAAATGCCGAAACCTGACGGCCTTTGTACCATTTGGCTTCACTTTGTAGATGATCTTGAAAGACGATTCTGGTGGAGCTACGTGGCCTGAGTTCACCAAATGCTCGAGGATTGAGCTAGTAATTGTCTTACATTGTCCCTTTGCTAACCATGCCGGATAATTTTCAGAGATGCGTTTGGAAAGCGTGTGCTTTGTGCGGCCAATATAACTAGCTCCACACGAGCAAGTGAATTTATAAACACACATTGAGGTGGCCCAAAGCGGCAGACTGCTTCTTGGCTAATTTGGAGAATAATATTTTACGGCCTACTATCGACAGTTTCCATCTGTACCAAAGATACATGGATGATACTTTCATCATATGTGACGACAATACCGACATCGAATTGATAACCAAAGAGTTCAACAGCTGCCATCATGCCATCAAGTTCACGTCGGAATCAGAGATTAACTCGGAATTCCATTTTTTGGATGTTTTTCTAAAGAGGAGATCTGATGGTTCTCTTCAAAGATCAATCTACAGGAAACCACCATGGAATGGTCCATAGCTGGGTCCCTTTGAGAAGAAAGAGAAATCTGATCCATTCCTTATCCTCAAAAATAAGGAGGATATGTTCAAGTGATACAATCGTTGGAGAACTGGAGCGACTCAGACAATTCCTCATAGAGAATGGATATCCTCCAAGATTTATCGAGAAAAACATGAAACCAAGGGAAAAACCTGAAAGAATACAGACGGTGCCGAAGAAACTGCTGTTTATGAGTGTTGGATTTAAAGGTGATACCACAGCTGAGATCCTGAAGAATCGCTTATGCAGATCACTGAGGAAAGCCTTCTTTATGGCTGAGCTACGTATCAATTTCTACAGCCGACAAATGATCAACGGATGTGTGAAGGATATTATTGATTCGATGTTATTTAAACAACATTAATGTTGTTAGTAATAACACTAATTCATTCACTATTATGTATGTATAACTGTAGGAACTGATGAAAAAGTTATCGAAAAGAATATTCTTTATTCAGAACTACTCTTTTGAAAAGATTTTACTGATTTCCCCTATAAATCTTCCAGTTTGTATGACATTCGACACAAATTATCCACGAAGTCAAGATCTTCTAGAGCCGTTAATCAGTCCAACGTAAGTAAATTGGAGAGTACCAGTGCTAAACAGGTTCGATCCAATCACTGACCCAAAAAACCTCGATTGATTCGACTCCCGGATAGGTGACGCATACCAGGTAGTATGCTGATTCCCTTAGTCTCATCTTTTTGCATTTTAAATACTTATTACCCCCAACCTCAACATATATATCTCTTCATCTCTTTCATAAGTACACACACACACACATACATAAATGACTTCACAAACTTCATCAATAAAAAGTGCGTGTTTATTTTACTAACATACTAAATAGAAAGTCAACAGTCTCACTTTCTTTTCAATAAATAAATTGCTATACACTTATAATAATCTGTGTATTTCAACACACAACCTTAATACTTTACTTTTTTAATTTTTTGATATGAATAAATAACACACTTAAATGAATGTTAACTCGGATTTTAACATTGAATTTAACTGAAGGAGAAAAATAAATCAATCAACTTTCATATTGAAATCATCAATTTAAACAAACATAACACGAAAAGAAAGAAAGAAAGAATTCAAGAATCTATTGAACACTGTGATATAATTGATTACCTGTTATATCTCTTTATTATATGCGTACTTAATGTATAGTTCGTCTGTGAATAATATACGCGAAGGATGTGTTTTTATGTATGTCAGGATGTGTATGTGTGTGTGTGTGGGTGGGTAACAGACAATGCATTACTCACATAGTTTATGTTTAAAATATGACATACTTTTGTTTAAATGCATAAAGTGTATACACACATACGCGGGTATTTCAACCAGAAATGTCTCATTTAAATAGATACGCATATATATTTGAAAATTGATAAATATTTATGTTGTTAGGTTGTGACAGCTTACTCATTCATTATTTCTCTTTCAAGTTATAATTTCGAGGTTCAATGTAGGTTTCGTTACGAGTCAATATTAGTTAGAGATCATGGCACAGCTGTTTCGCACAGTTGGGTGCTCTTCATGAATTGACAAGGTTAGAACTCAAAGGTCATTAAATTCCAGACAAAGTAGGTGAATGGTCAATGAGCTCACCACGCAACCTTAACGTCCTGGGTTCGATTCCTGTCAGTGGGGTCATGGGTGTCCAGTGTTGAAGAGTTCCAAACTAGAACGAAACGGCTGTCTATTGTGCTCTCTGGTTTTCAATTGTCTCTTTAACTGATGTTGGTTCCCGACTATATCTACACTGGGATAATTCCGAAACCCTACAGAAAACCCAGAATCTTAATTGTGAGTTCATCTTACAAACGAAGTACTCTGAAATGTCACACACGCGGTTGGTTCCTTTTATAGGTGTAAATTAGTCGGAACACTCTATGACAGAGATAGGAAGCTATGTTCACCTAACAAACTGAACAAAAGAATTAGACTTTGTTTAGAAATGCCTACAGAGAGAATGGATATCCTAATGGATTTACGTTGAAGTACGGGAAAGAAAAAGCCCAGAGAAAATGAAACCCTGAACTGTTGAATAAGAAGGTCATTATTCGTCTTCCATACCAAAAGAAGGAGTAACATCTCAAAGGATTGACAAAAGAATAAGGGGAACAGTGAAAATATGTTTCCCTGAAGCTAAGCTCGTATCGTTATACAGTACCATATGCTCAATAAATCAGTCTAAACTGCTGATGTCATCTTCAACTGCGTTTATAAATTTATATCCACTTGTGGTAGCAAATACATAGGAAGGACAGAATAATGAGCTACTGTGCCGTTTTCTGATCATATTTCAAGAAATTTGTACTTCAAGAGAAGCATATATTCACAAAGTTCAATTACCATATCCCTAGTGTATGCGGGACACTTTGTCGATAACTCCAAATCGTTATGATGTTCACCACAGGAGGCGAATGGCAAGGAAGTATTGCACCTAGGTTTCCTGCTTATTTATTACTCTTCAGAAAGGGCTATCTGCAACAAACTCGAAGAGGCTGATGTCCCCTCTGAGATTAAAACCAAAATCACCCAGTAATACAGTCAGAGATTCTACTGCAGAGGAATTTAGAGATACAGTTTGACCCCTTGAAAGAGTGTAGTGGATATATTGGTTGGTCATTAGTGTAATAATAAAGTGTACCACACTACATTGTTGAGCACATTTAGAAAAATTAAACAACAGAATTCAGTCACCAACAGCACTCTAAAGACTAGGCTGACAGACTAACTGGATTCAACATAGAAATTTGCAAAGATAAGCAGCAGTTCGAGTTGCCACACTGCACATAACACACAAAACAAGAGAATGAAGAGAGATTTAATAAAAGAGATAAGGAACACAAGTTTGAGGGAAAGAGAATAGTAATATGCAAGAACAATACAGTTTTATTAGATATAATAAATAACAAAGAGTGAATGGATCTACGCCAGCCATTCAAAACGATTTCGAGCCATACTACCAATAGTCTCTAACCATTGGTTTTTATCATCTCAAGGACTCCAACCACACAGCAGTCTACGCCTCCCTACGTGCCTGGCTTAAACTAATTAATGTGGATTTCATTGTCTTATGTCATGTCTTGGTTTGACTGCCACTACGTGGCTCTTTTGCAGCCTGATCCTATCCTAGTCAGCTAACACTGCCTGTCTAGTAGGTCGATTGATGGCTAGGCATGCGTAACACATGTCTTAACCATTTCAATCGATGTAACTTCACAACCTTGGGCGAATAAGGAGTTTTATCCATCCTTTAAAGTCACAAAAACCAAAAATACAACAAAAAAATAGAAAGGAAAGTTGAGGTTAACACTAATTTATTAACACAGAAAAAGATACAATCATCACTAACCTGACGTGTAAAACGTGGTTCTGTACGAATTATCTTCAAGGCAACTTTACATCCTTTCATATGATCATAGGCGGAGACAACTTGACCAAAACTTCCTTTCCCCAGTAAAGATAATATTTCATAACGATAAGCAATATGATCATGTTGAATAATACGATAAAAGTTCTCGGAATCATTGAACATTGATTGATTGTCGTCTGGTTAAAAGGGTGAATAGTGGCGGCGATCACGGTAGAAGGACGTGAGGAGATCAGGAATAAGTAGAATGAAGATAAAATTTAAAATAACGCATGACACAAAAACAAATAAAAATAGTTGTCATGACCTGGTGTATCGATTTATCAAATCTGATAACCAGATCAGCGAATTCAAGGCCCATGAACTGCCGCCTCAGTCATTTGATCTCTTTTCTCAGAAATAATCAATTTTTGATTTTTACTGCTAGTAGTGTAAAAAAATCTGAGTGAACCTATCAACAGACTGGAGACTAGTACACAGTTTTCACACTAGTACAATGTCTCGACTCCTGAAGACGAATAGAAACCAGTATACTTAACTCTGAAAGACTTCTCATAACTCCTTTCCCATGTAAGTATAAAACTTAGGCACTGTGGTAGAGTATAACTCCATTATGGATAAGATTTTATTTTGATAAATCACACAGTGTTATACAGTAGTAATATTAACTGATGACCATGTTTCGAGCACAAACTATTGCCACTCATAATCATATCAAGTTACTCAAACAACTTTTTTTCTTTCATTTATGTACATGTGTGGAATTGATTAGACATTTGAATAGAAGTCAATATAGGATAATGTACATTCCGAAATAATAATATGAGTGTTATTGATGAATTACAATCAGATGGGAAATAAGACGAGTGTTTCTATAGTCATAATAAGTTACTTGTTAGAATGTTCTGATGTGCTTGAATTGAAATAGAATTTTAAGAATATTTATTATCTTCCTCTGATTTGACTGACTGATGGTAATAATCTCTTCCATGTTTCTGGTATTTTGCATTGAGTCATTTCTGTTGCATGTGTTGGGTGTAAACTCGACAAACAAGGATTCAGTAACCAACCTCTCTCGCTCTCCACCTACCTAGATTACTTTTTAGAATTTTAACCCTCTACCACCCCATTGTGTGGTTGTGTGTTAATGCATGCAGTGCAATCGCTTATTTTTTTTCCTAAATTACTTATCTTCTCTGGGTCAACCATTCTTACCTTAGCTGAATTCTTATGTTCCGGCAATCTGACTACCCCCTGACCTACTAGTTTAACCTATGTTGTTGACCTTACAGTCATTGCAAGGTATTTTGAAAACTATATTATTTTGTTTAATTGAGTCCACCGGGTCTTTTAGCCTACAGAGCTTGTCCTACCTGAGTGAGTTTGTAGGTTTGAATGCCACCCTAATTCCTGCTTTATTGAGAATCCTACTAAGTAGAGCCTCAGATGTCCCCTCCTTATATGGTATAACAGTGGATGCCTTATATTCTCTCTTATTTATGTTATCACCGTTAGTTTCACCATTATTTTCATTTTGCTTTTGACCTTTTTGATATTCCTAATGAATTTTATAGGATAGTTAGTTATTTAACACCAACGCCTCTTCTATTTCTTTTTCATTTCATCATTTAGGTCTTTTTTGTGCTACTTAGCACTCTACTGCTCGGTTTGTTAGACATATAACTAAGCCAGCCTATACACCGTGTAATTTATCAAAATAAAATCCTTTCTTATGTCTTCTGTTGAATACATTTACATAGAACATTCTAGCGAGGTCCATCAGAGCATAACTCGGCTACGAAAAGTAAGCGTAGACGGAAATTACTCACTTCAAACCACAATTTTACAAAAATAGGTTTCATGACTAGGCGTATCGATTTATCAAACGTGATAGCCAGATTGACTAATTCAAAGCTAATGAACAGCCACCTCAGTCATTTCGCACTTATTTGTCAGAAATGGTCAGTTTTCGAGTTTTACTCATAGTACTGTCAAAAAATTTAAATGAACCTATGAAATAGAGTAAACACTGGCACACAGATTTTAGATAAAAACAGTCTCACAACCCCTGAAGAGGAGTAGAAACCTAGATATTTAAATCCAAAATATCCTTCATGATTCTTTTTCAGTGTTATAAATTGAATAAATTTACATAGAGACTTCTAGTGAGCTCCACTGAAGCATAAGTTGACTATGAAAGGCAAGAGTAGCCGAAAATTACTCATGTTGTACTATAGTTTTTGCTATGTCATCTCTGAAGTGAACTGATCCCGGTTAACCCCGAGATAATGAGTTCAATCACAAGGTTAAAAAAACGAAAGCTAGTTAGCAAGCACCGGTTATTGACCTGAATGGTCTCCGAATATCAACATCTATCAGTAGTATATTTTATCAAACAGATCAGATATAGTTAGGTAAAAGATTTTTTGGAGTTTTTGAAAGAAACAGCGGTTAGTTTTCCTGTTGAACTAATTAACTCTTAAATGACTAAATGTATTCTATAATTTCAATCCTCTAGGGACCATTGTTTCCTTTAGTGAGTTAAGGAGACTTAGTAAAATATGTGATATCTAACAGAGTTGAAAATGCTTCGCGATCTGTCCACCTACCTAATACAGATTCCTGACCAAAATATTTAGATCGTATACCTTTAGAACTGTGCTTTGAAGTTTCTGTAGCCACACATTCAGGTTTCCTTCTCTTACAGTTGAAGAAGGGAAAATCATCAGATTTCTTCATATTCATGTTATAATTGTCAAGGCAAGGAAACTGACTGTACTGACAGAATTCCTTCTAAACACACAAGCTCAGTTTCTTCAGATAGAATTCAACGACCTTACAGTTGTACGCAAAAAACAAACTCGTAAAGTAAAATTAGTATTTTCAAGTGAGTTATTTTGATGAGATTTGATTTGTCCCAAGTTTTATTACAGAATGATGTCAGTTACAGAACCACTGAAAACTAGGAAGTATTGAACAGTTGTTTCATAATACTTTGAGGCTCTTCAGCAGTATGCACCTACCAGGGTTCGAACCCAGGACCTTCCAGTTAAAACACAGGTTCGTAGACCACTCAGCCATTGGATCGGGACCCATTGGCTCGATCCCTGGAGGTGGTGTCATGGAAGCGTACTGCTAAATAGTCCCAAACTAAGGGGAAACAAATGTCCAGTACGACTTGGTTTTCCAGTGATTCTCTGACCGATATCAGTACGTGATCAAAATTGAGAAAAAATTAGGATTATTCAGAGTGTCATAAATGACTTTAAATGACTTGTTAACATCAACTTTATGTTCAGTGTCTACACAAAGTGAGATAAAGCAGAGCTATGAAGAGACCTTTTGTTCGTCCCTTGCTTATCCATTCAGAACGATGTTCAGAAATTCTATGATGAAAATGCTTAGTTGTATGGCTAATGTGTAACTGCCTTCACAGGAGAAATCAAACTCGTAGATACGCATTCACAGGAGGCTTAATCCCTAAAACGTAAAACTGGAATGGTTGTGAGTGAGTCTGATTATCATTTATGTATAGAAATAATGACGCGGTTAGTTTGAATACAAAGTTTCAAGAGTTGTCTTGCAGGAATCTGATTCATTTCAAGTGTGGTCCTGGACTGACATCACCTTCAGTGCTACTGAAAATACCATCACGGAGTACTGGACAACTGTTTCATCCTTGTTCAGGACTCATGATCCTAATGGGGATTGAGCCCGGGACCTTCAGGTTACGAAGTCAATTTTATTGGGCATTCAACCTACTCGCTCTGTAATTCAACGACCCGTGAATTCTAACTTCTGTCAATCCGCAGTTTTGACTCAACCCCTACCTACTGCGTCATCAGCGAGTGCCTACCTGTCCTTACATTCAGCGTAGTGGAATCCCCACTAGATAAGAAATCTCACTAGAACTCAAGGGAACTGCATCATGCAGCTGGAATCCAGTGGACATCAGATTAATATCCAAAAGCTTAGGGATCAAGGGTTCGATCCATAGTTGGGTCGTAGATGCATTCTTCTGAAGAGTCCTAATCTAGGATGAAACAGCTGTTAAGCAATCTATGATGGTTTTCAATAGTTCTCTAAATGACAAACAAACTTAGATATAAATTGCCAAACAGGTAGCAAATCATTAACCTAGGTTAACTGAAAAGATCATATCAGACAGCCAATGAAATCTATCCCAGAGAAATAAGACCGAGTTTCAAGTTCTCTACAATGATAAAATGACTGTTTCATTGAGTGATGCTTAAAGAAATTCCCTAAAATCACACCAATTTGAATCAGCGCCACTAGGAAACAAATAGAAACGAGACCTTTAAGCCACATACACTAGCATGAAGTCATGAAGATGCAATTTTATATTCTGAATTCTAAAACGCGGTGCCTAGCAAGGTATGACAATCAAACAACATTTACTGCTATGTGGAATAGCATGACTTATTCATTATTACTATTCCTTTTGATTCCGAGTGAAACATAAGGCTTCAACAGCACATATCCATTTTGTCCTATTTTGTACAGTCCTCCCTGGCTGGCCGCACAATTGCCCATAGTCTCTCATCTCCTCCTCACACGATCCTGCCGCCATGTCACCCTAAGACCCACACCCAACTTGCCGTTTCCCATTCGGTTTCCACTCAAGAGCTAGCCTGGTACGCAATGTCCTTCGACAGTCTCCTCAGTGTGTGTCCAATCCATCTGCATTTTCTTCACCATATTTGTTAAGCAATAGGCTCTTGGTTGGTTTGTTTCTAGAGTTCCATTTTGCAAATTCTTTCCGAGCATTTGATCTCAAGTGTGGAGCCAGCGAAGACAGCTGTAGCTCGAAAATCCCCATTGAGTCATATGAAAAAGAGAAAACGTTCAGCGAAGAGACTCTTTTCGGCGAATTCATTCACATAGCTGTACAATCGCATTTATATATAATTATTTGTGCTTCTATGTACATGAGGTTTGTCAAGTTTAGATAATTCATTAGTTAATACAAGAATGATGTAATATAGAAACAAGGTTAATTAGACAGCAACTAAAGTAAGATTGAGTTAGTAAGCTAGATGACGTAATATAATTGACTAAAATGTTTGAACTTAGGTCAGGGTAGCAACAGAGGTAGTCACAGGTAGAGACTAAGTAGAAGTGAAATTGAGCAAATAAGTTGCATGACGTAACATAGATGATTAGAAATTGAGCGTTGTTCAAGTCAGTAACAGTGGTAGTTAGGTGTAGAAATTGAATCGGGTGCGGGTAGAGAACAAGAAAGTTGAAAATGTAAAATATTACAATTGAGAAGACAAAATAATACTAATGAAGAGACAGAAGAAAAGATTAGGTGGAATTTACTTGTCGGCTAATAAGATAGATTACGTCCATTCCAAGTGTAGTGATTGAACGAACTTCTTCTGTATTCAGAGTTCAGAGCTTAGCAAGTGAATCGCCATTGCTTCTGCAGTTTGAAGAAGTCTGATTCGTACCCTTTTAGGAAGACTACTTCTTACTCTGTAGAGGACTTTGAAGTTTGTTTGCGGTGTAGCTTGGTGTCCGGATACTATCAGATGTTCTAAGATGGAGCTGCGGGGGCATTGATTTTCTCCTTTGTAAAACCATGTTGGTAAGTGTTCGGTGATACGTTTGGAAAGCGAGTGCTGGGTACGGCCGACATACCTGGCTCCATACGAGCAAGCGAATTGATAAATACACATTGATGAGGCCAGCAGTGATAGCTTATCCTTCACGTTCACATGAATCATACGTTTTGTGGAGAAGGTCAGTCGTAGTTCAGCTGCGAAGAAGGTCTTCTTAAGTGAGCACGACAGTCGATTTTTTAGTGTTTCCTCAGATATATCTCCATTAAATTGAAGGTTCATGTAGAGTAGTTTTTTTCGGGACGCTAAGCATGGGCGGCTTTTGTGGTCTAGGATTCATAGATTTTGCAATAAATCTTCCTGGATAACAATTCTCGACGAGGATTCTCTTGAGATTGTCCAGTTCATCTTCTATGGTGTCCTGTAGACAATAGTCTACACCAGCCTGTCGGAAATACCTTTCGTGAAGCACGCGTAGTACAAGTTTCTGACCCATATAGAAGAACTGACTGACTTAACAGCTGTATTGAAAATCCGAATCTTGTTCATGAGCGTGAGGACTGCAGAAGATTTCCAAACTGATTTTAGAGTTATGAGGTTCTGTTTCGCCTTTTCGATTCTGGCTGGCTTTGACATCCTGATCTGCCCCACTTGTAGACTTGTTCAATGAGACTGGTGAACTTAGAGGAATGCCTTAACATCACTCCACTTTGTTCAATATTCAATGCACAGAAATATTGAACACAACTGAACAACATTAAAACAAAAATAAAAAATATGTTCGAATAATAATCCCTTTGCACCGCTTACCTGCATTATTGTTATGATTACTATTATTATTAGTAGTATTAGTATTAATATTACTATTAATATTATGATTACTACCATTATTCATTTTGTCATTGAAATGTTGCGATATCATATGATTGCTGGGTTTTTGTACAGGAAATTGAAAACAATTGGAAACTGAGTGTTTTTCAGCTGTACAGCCAACATAGAAAATCTATTCAATGAAAATAAAAGACAATTGAAAAACCCATTAATTTTTATTAATTATTCATAAATTTATGCATAATTTATTGTGAAATTTATTATTCGGAACTGCCTTTCAAGTTGCCACACTCCAAAAGGAGTATAATCAGCAGAAATCAACGGGATAAAGGAAATTAACATGAAAGAATAACGCATCTGCGCATCGGACAACGATTTTGAGCCATATCAACAATAATAGTCTGAAACCATTGGTCCCCAGCACTTCGAGGAGCCCAACCACATAATAGCAGTCTACACCTCCTCACGTGGGTGGCTAAAACTACCTGTCAAAAACTCAATGGATTGATTTCAAGTTTTGGTTTGACCACCACTCATAACTCTTTTCCAACCTAATCCGATGTCATCTCACACTGCCTGTAGAGGAAGACGGTGACTCGGCATGCGGGGAAAATGTCCTAGCCATCTCAATCGATGTAACTTCATAACCTTATCGATTGACTTGTTCACCTTATCTAACATTCTACGCCTAACTTCAATATTACTCATTATATTATACCACTGAGAATATGAGGCAGGCCGCAAAAATCGATTGTCAAAGACAGTTGGCCTCTTCACGTCTTTCACAATCAGTGGCCATGTTTCACAGCCACACAGAAGAACAGAGCGAACTGTAGAGCAATACACACTTTGTTTGATCGATAGCCAGTCGGATATCACGCCCACGCCAGAGATGGTGTAAATTGGTAAATGCCACGCGGGTCTTTAATTTCCCTTCTGAGATTCCGTCAGTAATCAGCCCATTGAGGTTGATGTAACTTCCCATTAAGCGACATGGTCAACATGCTCTACCAATTCGCTCTCAATCTTTAAGCTAGAAGTCAGTCATTGTAGTCCAGTCCCGTAGCATCATCTTAAACTTGACAAGAGCGAACCATGTGCCAAACATTCGAAGTTACTCAAGGTTTTGTTCAGAAGACTCCGTATTTTTTGTCACCGTCTTCATCTATCGGGATAATATCAATCACATACTCTAAGTCGAAGAGGTTTTTCTTTGGTAACAAGTGAATCCTTAAGTCTATAAATTCAGTTTGAGTGAATTCCATAAGTATACACGTATATATAAAGACAGAACACCTGAAAAATAATTACTGAATACTTTTACCAATGTTATGACTCTTAAACAATTCACTTCCTATCACTCCGCAGTGGATTAAATCCGTAAACGTTAATGTCATCCAACAGCTGGATGTACCTGTGATTTCTGATATTTACTCATTTGCGATGAAACCCCCTTTTCCACCCACCCTTTAATTTTTTCAATAAATAACTATATTTTTCCCTTCACGTTCGCCAGTGGAACATAAGGCTTCAAGCTAGTGGCTTGGAGTTTCTGTAGCAATGTTTATTTTTACAAGATGGGGTTGCTATCCACATGCCCAACCTTCCTCTTCACCAGCATTATTTCTGGCTTAGCGAGGTAAAGGAGTGCGTCGGCCGGGGATCGAATCCCGGACCATGTGCATGGTCGACCAGCGTCCTAACCGCTATGCCACCGACACAAATAACTATATTTACCAGAGTTGTTATGGAGGAGATCGTTTGAAGAGAAGATCAGAGACTATGAGCAATAGTGGAGTCAGCTAAAGGGGACAGCAAGAAATAGGAGAAAGTGTAGATTTGCTGTTGAAGCCATATGTTCCACTTGGAACCTAACGGAACAATAGTAAAAATAATAACAATATATCTATATTCAAACTTATCAGACTAAAAATTTTACCAATGTGAGTTAAAAATCTTTACAGTGGCTAACCTACTCATAAATGAAGTTTCAGTGAGAATTCAGTGAAACTAGAACTTATTACTGGCTACATTTAGGAGTGGGTTGGTCGGTTGGTCGGTTGGTCGAACCCTAGATGATATACGTGACTGGTAAGCATCCTACAAATGAACCACCGAGGTTGTAAAATAGTGTACTTATCTAAATGTAATTACCTCCAGCCTTTTTTAAGCTACAAATATATACTACTTGTAAGTAGACAAAATGTTAATTTCGAAAGAACTTAAATAACTAAAATAAAATCACAACACTGAAAAACTTGTAAACGAAAAACAGAGCTGGATTTCAGTATACACGAACTTATTAGTCGTTTTAGAGTAGTAAGACCAATTCTTCACCAGACACCTGTGGTTGAAAATCAGGCTTTCAGTGAATAAAGTGTTACTCGTTTCAACAATCTCATTCTCAATCTGTTCTTGAAGGTTGTCATATTCCCTTTACAATTTAAATCCCTATCACCCAGTGCTACAGCCAAAGACGTTACCAGTGATCTCTTGTAGGACTGTGAAGGATACACTGACTTGTTATGATTCTAGTCCTCAGTGATGGTGCATACTGAACTCTATCGGTCAAGTTTGCAATGTAGTCACCGAGATAGATTGATTGACCATCACCGATGTGACTGATAAAACACAGTCTTCACCAATGCATTATGGAATGGACACACGACACTGGCTACGCCATAGGTATGCTGCATGCACCTCAGAGCTTAAACAAACACAACAATACTACACAGCACTTTTGACTTTATGTCGTATAAGTCATTCAAGTATTTGTTTTGTAGGGAATTTTGTTTTACTGGTTGGAGGATTTCACCATGAGCTGACATCCTGTTAGAGAACCATTGGAAAACCACCTTGGAGTACTGGGCAGCTGTCTTTCCCCGTCCTAGTCTCTCTGAATTCTTCAGCAATATGCACCAACCGCCAGAGTTCGAACCCAGGACCTTCTGGTTGCAAGGCTAGTGAACTCGTAGACCATTAAGCCATTGGGACTCAATCCAATGGCCAACCCATGAATTCTAAATTCTGTAAACTCATAGGATAGCGCGACCACTTCGCAATGTCTTCTTCGATGAGTTACTGCTACACCTTCAACCTGCAACGTTGCTTTTTGGAATGCTATATGAAACATTCTTTGAGACTTGACCCCATGTGTGATTATTCTGAATCCTTTAAATTCTCTGAGTTAAATAGTCTCATCGCAAAGATTTCATTCACCTCCTATAGACACAATATATCTTCATCAGTGCTAACTTAAGGCGGGAATTCCCTTCGAATGAAATAACCACCACCGTCAACAAACCCTCTCTTCACATAGTGATTGATTGTCCCAAGAAATTTCTAAACAAATGCCTATTTCATTTTGAAGAGGTTTGTTGTCTAGAACGAGAATGAAGCTGAGTAGTTAAATCGTTAAACACTAACCAAAGAAACATTTAAGGGAGTTAGGCAAAATCTCTTCTATGATTTCATGTGTGTAATTATCAGTCACACCATAATAGTTCCAACTAATTATTATTGTTGTTGTTGCTGTGATGATGATTGAAAGCTATTCATCTTATTTATTCATCTATTTTTATAGGCAATTAATTTAATCTTGACATTATTTCAATTGATTCATTGATTGATTGATTGAGTGATTGATTGATTGACCATGATTGAGTGATCACATATGTCTGCCTGACAGATAAAACCAATTCAAAGTTATGGCATGTAATAGCTACTAACAAAAATGAACTTTCATCTTTAGTCTGAAGAAGCCTTACAGATTAAAATACGAAATATACCCATAGTAAAGACTTCGCTTTCAATGGAAACGTGATAAGACTAAGGGATGAAAAGAGAGTGGTTGAAAATATAAGTAGGGAGTAGTAGTGGTGACGTCATCAGTTGGTGTTAGGTCTTAATAGGTCAAGGGAAAGATAAGGGCTGCACGAACTTTTTTTTGAATGCATAGTTTAGGTTTAATGCCTATCACCTCAGCTGTTTGCAGTAGATGAATACGAAGTCTGTTGGAAAGTTTCGGCGGGATGTGATAAATCACCTTGAATGTTATCGTTTTCTACCTTCCCTACATGACCACTGTCAACTAAATGTAATGTGAAAAAATGTAGCTACAGGTGTCTGCCAAACAACGAAAGGAAGTAGTCAATAACATGTTGGCTAAGCTATCTAGTAGTACGCCCAACATAACTGTCCCCTAAGGTTCAGTTGAATTGATAAATGCACATAGATGTGGCAAAACTATCTAGTTTATCCTTCATTTGAGTGATCCAATCATTCGTCGGCTAGAGAATGGCAAATATAAGTCCTCTTCGTCAAATGTTCTATGTATACTTGTGACTAGTCTTTGAATGAAAATCTCACTAGATAAGTCCCCATTAAACTGTAACCTAATCAATAGAAGTTCCTTCCATGCGGTCAACGTCTCACTCAGGTTTTCTATCTAATGTTTATTCATAAAACTACTGGAATAGCCCTTCTATGTCAAGGAATCATGAATATATTCAAACTCCTTTTGTAAGTAAACATTCGTACAGATCTTTCTTGCTCAGGCCGTAAGATACTTAACAATATTTGTTTTATATTTAGTGGGCACGTAACTAAAGGAGTGCGTGTATTGCTTTGGGTCGGGGGTTTATCATCTCCCTGAGCGTTTTTCATCCTCTTTAAAATTGAATACAAGATATGATCATCAATATATGCCATTATAAATACGCTTTTACAAGCTTTATATTATTAATAAGATTCCCTTGGGTTTCGAGTGAAAAAAAGGAACTTCTGATGAAGCTAATAGCAGTTTCATCATGTTATCTCAAGTCCTGTCTCCCTAGTTCCACAATACGCCCATAAGCACTCATCTCCTTTCCACACCCTCAACTCAGTGTCACTCTAGAAAGCCAAAACTATCCTTTTTTTATTCACGTTACACTCAAGGGGTTGCCTGGCGCATGATGTCACTCAGCTTGTTTCCAATCCATCTCCATTTGCTTTGACACATTTTTTGGACAGTATGTTCTTTATTGTGTGCGTTGGTGGCATAGCGGTTAGGACGCTCGCCGACCATGCACATGGTCCGGGGTTCGATCCCCGGCCACCGACTCACTCCTTTACCTCGCTAAGCCAGAAATAAAGCTGGTGAAGAGGAAAGGTTGGGAATGAGGCTAGCAA